TTTTTTTGTAGTGCATTTGAAATAACTGAAATTTACGATAGTCTACCACTGCCTTTTTCCGGTTCTTTTCTCTTTGCTTAATAAGGAGAATATGTAAAAGTCTTGCTCCTTTCTTTCTATTTTTCTTTTCATATTATTTAAAATCTGCTATACGCTAGCAAGTCAAAAAAGAAAAACAGTTCTGACTTAGCAATTGTTGATTGGCTTAGTGACGAAGAAACTAGTTGTCATTTATTGCTATGAAAGCCTAGCTAATAATAAGGTAGTTATAATTTTATAGTTTTTTTAGACAAACTGGAAATGAAGGAACTATTTAGAGACGTAAAAGTTGACGTTTTTTGACCAACATATTTTACTACATTTTTTTTGTAAAAAAAATCTTTAAAAAAATGCAGTATTAACTTTTCAAAAAGATGTTAAATTTAAAATGATACAGAATTAGCACAGTGGTTCCAGCCTATTTTAGACTGTCCATTATATTAAGAATATAAGCCTTCATCAGAGGAGTACGATTCAGCATAAACCAAGCCGAGCAGAACAAAAAATAATGAGCCTAAAAAAAATTGAGGCAAGGAAATGTTGACAAAACTCAACAAAAAAACTTGCAACGAGTCTACAACTAAATTCAAAGCAATAAACTGATACGCCTGCTACTGTCAGTAGCTACACGGGCATCTAAAAATTATGAAAAAGGTTCTTCCGAAATCTTCCTGTTATGAAACTTTACTGAATTATTAAAAAACGAAATTCCTCTTTCCTAAAATATTTCTTTTGCAATCACTGTTGGTTTTTAATTAAGCAGAAATGATCTGAAGACCGATGATGAAAATATTACACAATCTTCCAGAATGATTTTAGGGTTACAAACTTTGTGTCTGGAATATTCTATCTTATACAAAGTGAAAAAAAACTAACCTATTCGCGTCTTGTCGCAGACAATGAGTTATATACGGAGATTTTGTAAGGATACCATCTCAAACACGATCAGATTTTATTGATGCAGAGCCCATCTTTATGGCTTTCCAAAGCTGCTCATATAGCATTAAATATGCTACACCTCCATCAATTTGCGATATCTTTTTAGGAAAATAACGCCTGTTTCACAATTACCGACAGCATTCAGAATTGCTGATTTCTTTCAAAAAAAGCGGTATCTACATATCGGTGTTGCAGGTTTAATGAGCTAAGTAACATTTTTCAAA